GGAATGCGCACGTGATAAAATGTTTCAAATGCAAGTGTACACTAGTATCGAACGATTTTCTCAATGCGTGGATCATACCAATTCGCGATACCTTCTTCTTGCACAACACAAGTTTCGCGATAATAATCCGCGTCGTTGAAAGTGAATGGATAGAAGCACTACTGACCCGTTGCCTTAAAGGTTTAAAGGGTGTGCATCGTGGTAGCACGCAAAATATGCTAATTGTCTGTTAAGACACGTAGCGTGTTTGCTTTCCTCCCACAAGTCTACTTTTCGATGCAAATTCTTCCACGCACCGCTAATAATATTAAAATCAACGACAAAATTTCATAAATAAAAATCAATAAATATTAATCACGAAAAAAAAAATAATAATAAATTTATATTTTAATAAAGTAACGCTTTTTTAGACAGAGAAAGAGAAAGAGAGATAAATAAGAGAAATTCTTTATAAATATCTAAGATTGCTCTCGCTTTGCGCCAGTAACTAAGGTCTATGATAAAGTCTACGATAGAACGTACTATTCATTGCTCGCTTTTTTGCGTGCCACTTTACTAGTTTTGGTTTAGGATCCAAAACTGGTCTCGCAACAGTTCGGCGTTTCTCGTTACAATAATCGCGACGATTTTAAATCAATCGTACATTTTAAATCTATGCAAAAATTATAATAAATGTGGAATTTGCATTTATAATATACAAGAAACCTGTAACAAGATATGTTTTTTGCTTGAGATTAAAATAAATTACGCGAAGATAACGTATTCCTAATTCAAAATATTACTTACTTTTAAGCAAATAATACTAAATTCGGATTGTAAATGCATGGAAACAAGATAAGATTATTAAAATTACTTTTTTTTTTATTCATATCCGTTAAATCAAGTTAAACCCTGCTAAAATTTTTTTTACTATACCGGCTACACCGCTCAAAATATATTTGAGGGAATATATTTTTTCAAATCTCTCTCTCTCTCTCTTTCTCTCTCTCCATCCATATTAATAGAGATATTCACGACTTTTAGAGATCCTTGAAAAAAAAAAAAAAAAAAAAAAAAAAAAATCGAGTTTATACATATCACGACAGAATTCGTTCAGTCCCATCGTTGATATCTCTTCAAATCGAGGAATATGTCTAAGATCGAGTTTAATATTGAAAAAAGGGCAAATTTTTGACAAAGTATAGGCGCGCGGTCATCTCTTCTCTCTCATACGGGATATATAATACGTTGCTCGAATGAACTCGCGATCGCTCGCGGATTCTGGGCCATCGGCCATACATTCGTGCTCGTTAGAGATCAGTCGCGGTCCCGGTCTCTACCTAGGCAAAATTTCATGCGCCGTGTGTGCGCACGAGAGGTAGGGGTGAGGGAAAGTGAAAAGTACAACGCGCGCGCGTTGGGCAATTCGACTTGACTAGACCTCGCTTTAAAGCCGGCCACCGGACCCGGCCGACCACGCTGGCGGTGGCGCAATAATTTGGCATTCCGATATGCCGTACTGTGGCACACTGTCTTGTACCACCACCATCACCTCACCCCGGCGACACCATCATCATCATCGCCGCCGCGGCTACCGCGCCGTTCTCGTCGTCGCCGTCGTCATCATCGTCGCCGCTGCAGCCTGCAGCCGGCGTCGCGAGACTCGCGAGAGGTACCGCGAACTGGCTGCATACCTACGAAGCCTCACCTAAATACTTACTTATCCCGGTTTATCTCGCAAGCCCATCGATCCGCTACATGCCAGGTACAGGTGCACTCGCTTCTGTGTGTCGCGTTTTCCCCCACCCCCGAGAAGTTCCATCTCGCAAGAGAACGCGCGGATAGATAAGGATATAGTCAGCATTTCGAAGAAAAAAAGTTTCGTCGATGGCGAAACTACTTTAAATCGAATGGTAGATAAATAGCACGGTTGTTTAATCCTTTAATGGACCACAATTGCTAAATCGGTTATTACGATACAGAGAACTTGAAAAAGTATGTAATTGTTCAAATAAACACAATAATTGAAAAAAAAATTCGGTGATAACAAAAGATTCAAAAAATACAATAGAAACGTATACGTATGTATCGGTTTAATTATTATTTAATGAAATAATGAGTAATTTCGTTTACAATATTTTAAAAACCGCTTCATAAAGAATTTAAAGTTGGATTACACCAACAGAAAATATTTCCACTTTCTTGCTAAATCTAATAGCAAGATATCTGACATTTAAGTAAGAAAAAATGAAAGAAAAGATTTTAGCAAGTTGCATCCATCTAGGAGATTCTACTCGTAAGCTTCGTGATATATCAATCGCAAATGTTAATTTATATATTGCACGATATATTGATACTTACACAAATTATGGAAAATGATATATAATCAGCCATGTGTCAACATCGGTTGAAATCCATCAAACGATTTCGCACATCTATTCTTAATTCTTAATTAAATATTAGATTACTATACAACAAAAGGATCTTTTCACTTGATAAATCTAATAATGCGCGCGAGGCGTTTGACATTTAAATACAAGTAGAAATTAAAAAGTTTTAGAGAATTATTCACAGTTTAAGAAATTCTAATCCTACACGCGATTTGTAAGATGCCAATCGCAAATGTCAAATTAGCACAATACGAAAATAATTTCCTCGGCTTATTTATAATTCTGACTATATCCTTGGTATTTAATTTAATTAACATTATCTTTGAAATATTCGGAATATAATTCCTTATATATAAAAGTAGCGTTCGCTCGTGAAACACAATCATTCGCTCGCAACTGTCTTATTTCACTTCGAGCACACAGTGGGGGACATATTAGAATAAATTGGTACCGAAAGTATATCTCGATAATAAAGCATGGCAGGTTTTTACCAAATGAACTCGCGGTGAATTTAACTATCGGCATACGGTGCGCGAAAACTCGGCCACACACATACACATCTACCTATACCTGTACTTTCTATAAGTCGGTTAACGGTGTCTGACATTTATGTGTGACGACTCGCCCTATTGAATGGATTTTTTTTTATCGAACCAGTCCTCAAAAACAATTCCTGAGAAATACCAGTTGTAAGATAAACCGCGTTCAAAAAGTTCAAAAGACTCTTGCCCGCACTACTGATGTTGTTTCATTCACGGATCGGCCTCTCGATCGTTAAGAGAACGAACATGTGGTGGGCAATAGATTTATGAGTAGTTATTGCTACATAATGTATATTGGCGTATTTTCTTCGAATTGCTTGATGAAGTCAATCGTGTTACAAAGCTAAGCGAACCAATCGCAATACGCAATACGACTGTGTACAAGAGAACCGAGAAAAAGATTTTTATATAAAAAAATATAACATACGACGATAATATAAAATATGACGAAATCAAGAGTACTAAACCAAGTATACGCACAAGATTAAGTGTATAAAAAAGATAATATAAACTTAAATTAATTATTTTGCAAATTATAGTCTTTATACATTCGAAGCTTAAATTCCCACATTTCTAGGTTTGCCTTATTAGCTATTAATCTTTTTTCTTTACTCACCAAAGTTGTTCATAATTTCCAGTATCCGGCTAAATCTGCATTAACTTTCAGGTGCAATTCTTCGTGGTATTCGTGCACAGTGCGCAGGCCCTCATTTTCGACTGCGGTTATCCGAAACTGATTGCGGGTCTTCTTCTACTTCACTCGTCGATCTTCATCGTGCTCTTCTCTGACTTTTATAGGACTGCTTATCGTAGAGGAAAGTCTGTGAAGGAACTTAAGGCTGAATAGAATACATGAAGGATATATGGAAGGGAAAAAAAATATTTGTTCCCATGTTGAACGAAAATACGCACATATATATGCACATGTCACAAATTCGTTCAAATGTAGCTCTCTTCTACACCGGTGAATCGTATTCAAAATAATATGCAGTTGCAAAAGGAAACTTTAAATATACGGAAAATGGGGAAAATGTAATTCTTATTGCACTCTAAAAGTAATACAATTATCAAAGATAAAGAGAAATATGTTATGATGAGACGAGTTAAAAATATATTACCCTCACTTTTATGTCAACACACTTTCATATTTATAAAATTTTTCCTTATTTATATAAAATAATTTGATATAAAATAATTTTATATATAATTAAAGAACTACTTTTTCTCATTTTTTATAATTATCATAATTTAAAAAAAAATTTGACGATGGCAAGAGAAATTGATAAATGAAGAAGACGAGTCAGTCGGCCAATAGGTTAATGCTCGTATCAGACTCTCGTATCTTTTCATATCCGTTTGGAAAAACGATATACAATGAGAAATCTAGGATGACACAGAAAAGAGTGTGCATTAGAAAATCCCTTTTTGTCCGTTGATGCGACTGTTTCGGTCGCATCAACGGATGCACAGACATAAACCGTATTAGCTTCCGACACAATTTTCCGGTAAGACAATCGAGGTCAAACGTTTCACTGGTTGCGGAGCAGTAGATATTGCTTCCGTAAGGAAGAGGATTCTTCTTCGTTATACCTCTCGTGTGTCCTCCGCAGGACATCTCAGGTCTCGCGCACACTTTGGACCGGCACTTTTGAAGTATCGATTTCAAAAATATATCTTTATCATCTTTTAATCGGCCTCTAACACCTATTTTTATATTGTTTGAGAGTTTAAAAATGTTCAATATGTTGCGCAATAAGTTTAAATAAATCTACATAAAATAAAGTCTAAAAAAAGTTTTAAAATTAAGAGTTTAACAAAACGCGAAGAGAACAACATTGAAAACGAAACAAAACAATAATAAAACGGACATATAAAATTACATTGATTACAACTATAATTCAAGGATATGCTTTGCCATATTAGAATTATCTGTCTTGAAAATTACTATTAAATTATGCTCAATGTGGTCGTATCTCAGAAGCTCGGAATTATCGTGTATCGACCAATCCTCAGGTCCTCAGTGTGTATCATAACTTCTATCATTTCATAAAAATTACTATCATTAATTCCATGTAAGTAGAATTACTGTAAATATAAAAGTAGCTATATACGCGCACGCTTGGAAACTTGTCGTTCCCAGCTAAATGATGACAAAATAATTGATTTTGATGAATCTATTAAGAATATTATTCACACGAGTTATAAAATGCGCGTTTGTGGTCACGTTTATTATCACGAGCGCTTTTGATTCATGTTTTTTTTCTTCATGAATTTTAATCTTGTGTTGAAAAATCTTTTACATAACTTGAATCTCTTATAAGTCGACTCTTTATGCGCACTCAATGTAATACCATCGTATTGTATTGATTTATTGGAATGAGAAAAATTCTTATCAAATCAGATAAAGATTTCCGTAGCGTAAAAAGCGTGATACCGATCTATCTATTATTATGGAGGTATTTTGTGAATATTCAAGTTCAATGTGTCTCTGATGTTAATGTACCTAATAATTATTCAGATATATATCTATTCATAAAGAATAAAATAAATATAACATATAACCGTATGATTCAGAAAAGCAATCAACGCAAGGTATTAAATTAAAAATTTGAAACTGTTTTATACGCAATATATACAATGTTTGGTATAATTTTTATAGATAATTATGATATATATGTGTATAAATCGAAGAAAAATATAGAATTTAATAAGTAGAATTTAATAAATTTATATATTTGTATTGTGTTCAAAATGTAAAACTGAGACACGCTGTCACAAGATTTCGTGTCGTACGAGAAAAAGAGCGATCAAAAAACACTGTATGCTTGCCGATGCTAAGAAGACTCTCGAACAAACCGCAATGCGGGTTTACGAATTACGAGAAGTCAACATTGTGAAATAGTTAATATATGAATGAGAATTTATGTATCAACGACGCACTTGTAATAAATTTCATTTGCATCAATTTCGTCCGAAAAATCCGCTAGTGATTACAATGAACTCGTAAAGAATGGAATTCGTAACTTATCGAAATAATCCATGTATACAAATAGAAGGAAAATCTAGTTTAATACACTTTATTACTCGATTCATTCTGTTAAACTCACCATTCCGTAAGGCACAGAGAGAGAAACAGGTGCAATATAAAGATATATTTATTATTTCATATAATATAAAAAGGAAAACCCGCGCGACCTTACGCTACGTAATAAATTTCACCATTGTCATTACTATGCTTCCACGAGATACATAGCGAGACGCGAGATGTGAATACCGCAAAGAGAGATCGGAACCGGCGCGGATACATACGGTCCGATGCCGTCGGAGAAGACCCGCGGAGTTGCACGTCTGCGGCGCTTTCTGTATTTTATCGATTGCCTCGATAAACCTGCGCAGCTATAAAGGGCGCCGAGAGCGCACATCCTGCGTGCGTGTAGTAATCGTCGCGAACGTCCAAGCGTGGCGACGAATACACTCGAGGGGTTTAACAATTGTAATTAATGAGATAAGTTATTAAGTCTCGAGACGCGAGACGCTAATTTTACCTCCAATCTTAGGATTACCGCTCACTTGCGTACAACGTGCGCCGTCTTGTAAATATTGTATCTTTCTCTTTTTTTGTAACAATAAAAATAAAATATTACCTATAAATCCTATATGTTCGCATAAATTAATTATCCTCTCCCTATTATATAAAAAAGAAATTATTATATATATTCCAGAATTAGATACAAAAATATTGATGTTTCACATATTTTCGAGACCAAATATATAAAAAGATGAAACACAAGGAAACAATACTATCATTATAGTTCACAACAAATAATTAAAATTGTTTCAAACAATGTATCATGTCATATTTTTAAAGAACTCAAAATAGTTTTTAATGTAAATCTGATATCAATTATATTAGATTATGTGTATTGAACGTGTATTGTTTTATAAAGAAAAATCTATCATTATACATTTTATTGATATAGTTTATATACAATAGTTAGACACGACTTCACCTTTTAATATGTGCATCCTAAATTACTGACGACAACAATCAAAATTCATCGAAATTCTATAAGATTTTCACGCTGCTGCTGCTTGTTGTATCCTCTTCTGTCTTTCAAGGAGACGACGTTCTCTTTCATACTCCTTCATTCTTAAAGTATAACTGTAACAAATATAAAATTTATCACAATATATCTTGATATATCTCATACACGTATATAATGTTATAATTATTACTTACTCCTCAACATAACACGCATGATATTCGTGTCTTTTGTGCGCACATTTTATCATGAAAGGATAATGAATCCTCTTACATTCATGTAACTCCAAATACTTGTGAGCGCAATAATCACGTTGATCAAGTGGTATCTTTGCAGCTATCATGTCTTCTTCTGACATCTTCATTTCTGTAAATCCGGCACACTAAGCAAAATTTAAATACAGCATCTTCTAAATAAACATAATCATAAAGACTATGGCTGTCAACATGTAATTCTTCAGATAAACATCACAGCTCAACACTCGACATTTAACACACCATAATTTTTCAAGTTTTGCTCAATAATAAAGCAGCAATATAATGCGATACATTATAAATGAGCCAAGTAAAACAATTATCAATTGAATTAATCAGATATAATTGCAACAAAGTAAAAAGCACAATAATATTAGAATTTTTAGCTCACTTTCCATATATCTATTGGAGAAAACAATAGACATTTAAATTATCATTTTCATAGCAAAATTATCTAATATATCACCAATATACATTTCTCATACATCTGATTGTAACAGCAGATTTAAACAATACATGTAATTGGATATCGAATAAAATCATCATCATAATTACATCACACATATAACTTCTGTTTGTGACAAAAAGCTACAAAATAATTCAATGACGAATGCGCGCAATAGATTTCACATATTTTCTCAAATCGTCAAATCAAGCAACAATAACAAGATACTGTGCAGTTAAAATACTTACGCGTACGAGGTTAAGTCAGGTTCGAATGACAATACTTGCCTCTGGGTTTCCGACCATTTGGAAATCCAAACATAGGATCGAATGTTGTTGGTCCATTGGGTTTGGGCATCGCATCGGGATGCGTTATGTAGGTAGCAATATAATTACCCATTTCTCTTTAAATTACATTCAATGAAGCGACTGATTGAAGACTCTAAAGGCACCGTCGCGTATTGCACTGACATCTATTGATCTAACTTATGTAACATTAAATATCGCTCGAATAATAAAAGCCAAATTGCTGCTCTTTGAGAATAACAATAATTATTTATATTTTACAAATTATTACATGATAAATTAAAAGTTTCAGTCATATACTTCGATAATTTCGTAAACTCAATTTCTCGTTATCACTGATCTTATTGACAAACCGAAAAATTTTTTGTAAGCTTCAAGATTTTATGAAAACATGCAAAAATAAATAACAAATCATCTTATTTATTTATCGAGTCAAGTTTACTAAAAGTGAGCCCCTGAATTTTTGTCCCATTAATTCATCAATAGCCTATATAAAGTATAATATACAAGGACATTTAATAATAAGAGATTAATTTCTTGAAGGAACTCTTTATTCGGATTTCGCTGAAATAAACATATCGATATATTAAAATTATTGTTCATATGTAATGAGGAGTAATTTCAAAAATCGCTTCAAGGCTACAATTTTAATTTTCATCTTTATTTATATCAAAAATCTGTATTCAAAAAAGATGGTCTCTGTGTAGTATACAATTTCTTATCAGCATTATAGATACTGTATTATGTCCTATTCTCTCTCCGTCAAACGGCATACTTACAATGCGAGGCCCCTTCATTTTTTTCAGGCTTACATTATAAACACAACACAGAATGCAAGTTACTTAATCATCGTCCTCTTCCATAGGTTCCACAGCTCCGCTTCCTAAATTATCATGTGAAAAACACTATTATATATACAATACATATGTAAAATGCATTAAAATTATATTATGGAGTTTATATTGATTACAGTGCATTATTTTCACTGTTTCTAAGTCCAAAATGTATAAGATCTTCAGAAATACTATGCGACACAAAACATGCAAGCTCACATACCATTTTGCAATCGTTCTTCACCTGGTACATGACCAGACTGCAGCAATTTGCTAAGCCTTTGTACCTCTTCCAAGGAAGACGCGTTTGTAATGGCTTCACGAATTTTGTTACGTTCCTCGGGTGTGGTCAGAGGTTTATCCGCGGCTGAGCCCGCCGTTTGAGCCTTTACCTTCTTCGCTATTTCACGTGCCATTTCCTTGCCACGTTGACTTCTGAAGTATTCTATTGCTGTCTCGCGTTCTTTCGTTTTAATTTTTCGAAAATCGAGTAATTTGAGTTGCGGAAATCTATACACAACGTATTGTCTGTAGTGTGGCTTAGCCGACACTGGATTTTGGAGCAGACACAAACTTGTAAGATTTTTCAATTGTGTCAGAGGCTCTAGATCTCCCAATTCTTGTATCATATTGCCAGTTAACATCAACGTTTGTAAATTTGGTATGCAATGCTCTAACCCATCAGCAATTCTGACAATACGATTATTATTGAAAAACATGGTCTGTATTCTTTTCAAAAGTGGGAATCCATCCAGCTTACGTATATCATTATCAGAAAAGTCTATTGTGTCAAATTGATCCTATATAAAATAATAAATAAATAAATTTACCATAACTATAGTATGACAATAAATCTTTTATAATTTTGTATTTCTATTCCAGCTACTAATAATTGCACAAAAAGATAAATTTCTGTATGCATATGTCAAGGGGAAAATATGGCTTATATATTGAAAGAGTATATATATATCCCTAATTAAAAATTGCCGTTTTAATATAATACAAATATTATTTCAAATTTTGTATGAATGTAATGTAAAAATCAATTACAAACATCGTGCTATATACACGATATAAATACAGATCAGTTTATTTTTTTTTTTTTTTTTTTTTTTTTTAATTCGACTTCTTGCAAAGTAAACAGTTCATAAGTAAATGGTAATATTCTATTATGAATACAAGTTTATTTGCTAAAAGAAATGTGTGCTCACCAAGGTCGCTCCCAAATTCTCGATGGTGGGTATTTTGTATCCTATAACATAGGAACGGAATAAAAACAATATAATAAATGCAACAATGTAATAAATATATAAAATGGAAATAGTAAATTTAGCATACACGCGGCTCTTCTCACAAACCTCTAAGATCTAATTCGCGATCACGCACAGGATTGATGTATTGCATCGATTGTTCTATCAATTCCGGCGTTAGTTTCACCATTGTGAGTGGACCACTGGTCAAACTTTTACTTTATAATGAGGTTCCAATTCGTTTCGTGATCGACTACGGTATACACGTTTAATTGTCGACTGTTGTCGATGTGAGAACAAATACAGGTGATATAAGGCATAAGGAATGAGTGGATGCCATAATAAAAATAACTGGCGACGCCAACGATTGAACCAAGTAACAAAATCGCGAACATTCGAAATTTATCGACACTAGGTACAACGCTGATTTTCCTACTGACAATTAACACCGACGAGATATACTATTAAAGACCGTCAGCCCTGGGTAAACTTTTGTGACCATCAAGTGGGCCCGGAGGTAATTAAAGAATGTTGACATTACCGGCCGTTTGATTGGATCAAAGATAATTACACGAATTATTTAATTTATACGGTTATTTTACTTCATCCAGTTATTATTTTATTATCGAAAACACCAACGAGATATTATCAGAGACCGATGGTCTTACAGGATTTAGCATATTACTGTAGGTAAGTAAATCTTTGCATTGTCGATAATAAAACAGTAAACTTACGATAAAATGTTTATTTTGTTGTTCTTGAGGCAGTTATATAAAAGATATATACATTTTTGATAATAAAACAATAATTGGATGAATTAAAATAACGCGCAGCGAGTTTTTTTTCCAGTCACACTAAATCCCATAAGACCACCGGTCTTTAATGATATCTCGTCGGTGCAATTAATAAGGTAAACTTTGACAGGAAGCCCGCGTGTTTGTTATGATCCTGATTTTCTTTGCAAGAAATCAAAAGTAGTTTACCACTTAATATCTACCATCTAAGAAAATAATAAAAAACAAGATTTCGACAAACGTTGATGAACTATTCATGAATCCCTTTTTTAGGTACATCAATCAGTTTTAGAAACTTTTTATTCTATTATAAAATAAAATAAAATAATGAAGAACTAAATGCAATTTTGATTTTATAAACTTTTAACTTAATGCAAGTCTCTCTCATCTCTTTCTAACTGAATCTTTTTTTGTCATCTTGTTTTTATCAAAGAAGATCTAAGAAACTTTTCATCAGAGTAGATTTTCACATTGCAAAAAATTGAAATTGGTGAATGTTTTGCAATGTGGACATTTACTCTGATAAAGACTTTCTTAGATTTTCCTTGATAAAAACGAAATAAGAAGAAATGACTCAATTATAGTAATTGCGCGATGAATCACACATGCTCACGAACATGACAGTAAACGCTTAATACCTGGCTGTGTAATAACTAATATGTTTTGCTATAAAATAATCTTCTTCCTCTTTATCACCGGAAAAATACAAGGAAAGATGAAAAAATTTCTTACATTTGCATACATTTTTTATATTTTACTTGATACCCATATGAATATGCATTTAGAAACTGAACGATTGATACGCATCTTTTAGAAAGATATAGTTTAAGAAAAAGATGGATATATATGAATTTCGCGCGCTGCGTATAATCTTATTTCTATAATCTTGTTTACATACTGTGATTCATCGTTACTTAATATATGTCTATTTCAATTTCGACAAATGATATTACACGATATTTCCTTTGCGAAATGACAATCTATGTTGAATATCTAACAAAGATTGCGAGATCATTAAATACACGTACAAAAAGCAATCAAACAAGAATTGCAATCCGGTTTTCACCTTAAACTAGCGCGTATAATAAACAGAAAAAGTATACTGTGAATGTCATAAATACTTCAACATTTACTAAATAGATACTTTTCGCACCAATGCATCGTGTTTAGATATTAATTTAAATCATAATTAGTTATAGTAAAAAAAGTAATTAAACAATGATAACGTTGTACTAGCTAAACAATAAATATTCGACAAGTGCCATATCTTATAAATTTAATAGAAATATGTGATTTGGTCTCTTATAAAAAATTTATGAACAACACATTGGAAAATAGTTGCAGAGATTAATAGAACAGCATTATATTAATCTCTACACTAAATATTATTTAAGACCCTAAAATTAATTCACAAAATAAAAATAAACCAGAAGATTTTGGTTTCTGTTTCCATTTTAATGGTATGCACTTCAAAAATATATTATATCGTTAAGATTGTCGGTATTCTATTTTTCCTTCACTTTATATACGTTTAAAAATAACAGCTGATAAGTTTCAACAAACGTGGGACATGTGTACTGTTTGATATAACTCAATCATATTTATTTAAAATAAGACACTTATGTTAAAGCTGCTAAACTATTAAACGCAACGTAAGTAAAAGAAGAAATTTCGAAAAATTGATTCGGTTCATTTCATTACAAACTAATTTTCGTAATGTGTAATATTAGAAATATCACAATTCTAATTTGCGAGCTTCAACTATTCAAGGATACATGTAATTGCGCAAGCAATAAGATCCTTTTCGTTAATCTCGTTATCTTCACGAATACAGAATTAATGCATCGTCATATCTATTTTTTTCTGTATTTTCATCTCATTTTCATAATTAGCACTATATTATCGCCAGAACAAATTTTTCATTGCAATGATGACTACTGCAATATGTTACAACAAACATCGATATTATTTAACCAGTCAAAATTAAAGATCGTAAACTTAAAAAAAAAGATTATATTACTCTGTAAAATTATCGTACATCGCCGTTTGGCTCACATGACTACTGATCGTTTTTATTAATTTCAAGTTTTAGCTAAGAAAAATATTTGTTTAGCCATAATATGTTATATACTATTATCGGTACATTTTTAACAGTTTTGAAATGATCTAATATACGATAATAAAATAGCAAAATAATAGAGCCATGCTAATATTTCTTAAGAAACTTAAAAAAGAAAAATTATTCAGTATTCTCTTACAAGCGTAAAATACTTAGAAATGCAAAAAATTGCATTCAATTGGCGGAACAAATAATTTTCATTTAATTACATATATTATTTTTAATGACCAAAACGAGAAATTTAAAATATGACGGTGTGTGTGTGTGAGTACTTGGTATCACAAAATCATTAACACGCATGATATATGATTACATATATAATAATTATCCACAATACACAAGTATATGTAACAGTTTTTATTTAAATTACTCAAGTGGAAATTGTGCGAAGAAAAAGAATTGGGAAATACCTATATTGTAATATGAATTTACTATATAATACTTGCAAATTGCTTCTACCTAATTATTTTTATAGCTCATTGTCAATAACATTAATTATCTTTTTCATAAATTGTTGACGCAAAAAAATGTTGTTTATCAAATTCTTTGCCATAACGATGAGATTGCAGATTTTATAAGATAGATATAAAGAGCAAAGTGTGCAGAAAAGAGATTCTTTCTACGTTTAATTCTTTTGATGACAGAATTTATTTTCTGACGTAAAAATTTTTCTAACAGCTTTTCCATAATGCATAATTAATAAAATCAATTTATAAAAACTTATATAAAAAGACAGCAAAATTTAAAATTCTAAAACACTAACAATGAGAGAAAATAAAAATAAAAATCTTCTTAGTCTTCCTAGATATAATAACTTTGTTAATATAAAAGAACAAATCGCAATACCGTGTATCATGAATGACGAAAGTAAATTTTCGTTGGAATATTATTAAGAAAAGACAAGCATTATATATCCAATAATAACGCTAAAGAAAAAACAGACACCAACGCTCTCATATTTAACCTTCGTAAACTAGTTTCACCAATGATTATGCAAATATAGCTATTAGAATAGCCAGTGGAAATATTTTTCTATTTCATCATAATAACTACGTATATGTGAGATGCTTTTCATGCTATCATGTAATCATTAGCAAAACCATTGACATATTTAAATTTGATGTATTGAGAGATCCATTAATATATAACTTTTAAAAAAAGTTTGTTAGATACCACGATCTAAGCCTTCAAGGGGTTATTGGTGCTGAACACGTATTGTGATATTCACGCATTGATTCCCTTACATTGTCAGACTTCCTAGGAGTGTATAATTATTAAATGGAATTTTATTATCCAAATGCGTAATTGAAAACATTTCTATGCAAGAATGAAGTGTTAATAACGGATTTTTATTACTAACGCCTTGACATTAAGCAGATAATTCCTTCCATTTTAAAACATATATATATGTGTATACAACATTCTTAAAAATATATTATCCTTCTTGAAAATATATTATTATATTTGTAAGAATAAATTTAACGATAAATAAACATGATAAAAAAATAACATACTACATAACAGTTTATTTCTGGAAAATTCTCATTATTTCCGTATTTGCGCAATGGAAAGCCACAAGATTCCTGACAAGTTAATGAAGATAAGGGAAATCCCAAGTTAGTCTCGCGGGATTTTTTAAATACCAAGATATTCTTAGTATTTTAGGAATCTTGGAAAACAATAAAGACTTCAATTCAGAATATTCAGCGCAAAATATTAATTTGAGGGCAAATTAATATTTTTGCAAAGAAGTTTAAACATCTTCTTATATGTTCTAAAATTAATAAGATTACTTTCATGTATGTTCCAAGAAAAATTAATTTCCTTAAGTTTGAAATATTATGTGCATAAGCACATGATGAATTTTATTTACACTTGTTAACGTGGGAAAATATTGCAAAAACAAAAAAAATTATCAAAAACTTGGATTTCAACTTTAAATTCTGAAAAAATACAATAAGTGAAATTAAAGCGATAAAAAATTAAAAAGAAAAAACAGAATACTCTTTATTAACGATAGAATTATTTCAAGCAATTCATCAAAGTAAGAGAAGTAAAAGAGATATATTTTTAGACGTTATTTGAATAGCGATCGTAGAGTAGTATTACATTTTAAAGGTTAAATAGATATAACCTTGCCTTTTTGCGGAAGGCCTCTTATGGCCGTTTTGAGTATAAAGTAGATTTATATGTATATGGGAAATATACTGATCGCCGATCAAGGACTTTGATTCTTCGACCACCGAATACATAGCGCGCAAGTCTTGCGCATAGTTTGAAGGTTAATTCGCGAATAAATTGCCTTTAGATGAGCTGACAACTACGCCGACACACATACCTATGAACTTTCGTACTTGAATTAATAAATTTTAAAATAGCAAGATGCACTGTCATCATCCGGTTCAAAGAACACCAAAAACGCAAAACAAATGATAAAAAAAAAAAAACATGACAA